CCTTCTGCTGGGAAAGTGATGGCAACAGTTTTCTGGGACAGCCATGGGATTGTCTTGATAGATTATCTTGAAAAAGGAAAACCATTATCACAGCATACTATGCAACGTTACTTAACAATCTGAAGGCAGAAATTGTGGAAAAACGGCAACATTTGCAAAAGAAAATATTTTGTTTCACCAAGCCAATGCTCCATCTCACACCTCAGCAGTTGCAATGGCGAATATTCCATGAATCTCGATTTGAACTGCTTGATGATCCGCCCTATTCGTCATACCCAGCACCAAATGAATTTATTTTTGTTCGCTAAGCTAAAAGAAGCACGTGGGAGACAAAGATTTTCATCAAATGGAGAGACTTTACAGAGCAAGATTTCACATATTATTTGGGTGGGTTAAAGGATAGGAGTCGCTCCTTGTAAGTTTATAGACTTACAAGGAGACTATGTCGAAAAATAAAGAGAATTTTGGAGAAAATAATATCCTTTCTATTTGTTAGGTTGGAAATTTTTCAGGCAGCCTACATATGTATCCTGTGAGTAAATTAATCACCCATAAGTTGTTCAAGTCTGTTGCCAGCGACAGACGTAATCTTGTGCTCCTTTTCACAAGGAATTTCGTGGGCTTGGCTGATTATACGTCAGAAAAGTGAGCATTAGTCAACAATAATAACAATGAACATGAATAATGTATGAAAAAAATCTATAAGTTGAGGTAATTATTTTATAATGTGATACAAATCTTATTAAAAAATGTGAAGGTATATATTTGATTAATTTTATTCACACTTGTTAAAAAAAGTACTTTTAGTTATGAATTTTTACACTAAAAATAATTACTTTGTTGAAAATACATTTATACGTGAACAGCATTTTTTTACAATCAAAAATTAATAAGAATAGAACCTGACTGACCAATGAGGATCTACAATCCATGATAAAGATAATTTCTAGTAATTTTTCTCCTGTGCCTTATACAAACAAATTTTATATTTACACAATAAAATTTATAATTATTTACATAGAAACGTGTGTATTTTAATTTACGCCTCGTAGAAAAACTTAATAAATAAGAGAAAGAGTTTAAATTGTCGTTATTTATATTCTCAAGTTTTGTTCCACTTGGAAAATTTTCAGAAAAGTCAGAAGAAGAGCATAATAATTACTTGTGTGATTGACTAAAGGTGCTACCCTATATTCAATCACATATAGTTGAACAGACAGTCCCATTTGGGCTACATAAAGATAACACTTTTGGTTTAACTCAAACAAGTAAACAAGTAATGTTGAACTTAAAATAAAATGTAATTAAATTAACAGTCCTTGGATGGGATTATGAATATTCCTGACTGCCAGGCACAATGTGCAGCATCTGTTAATGTTCAATAAGAATTTGCTGATGAACTTGTAATGATCACATGGTGTGAGAGACCTTTGTGGCTTCTAATGAGTAGCTGCTTGCTTGTGTCACCATCTATTATTAGCAACAGTAAGAACTGCAGTGCACGAGCTTCGCATGCCCTAGAAGATGGTAATGATCTTGAGATTCGAACCTGGGTCCATTTAATACGAGTTGAATTCTCTACCACTAGTGCAAAAAAGCTCCCATGTGCCAAGTTCAAGAGTTCCACCTGTTTCAAATTTGCACACATTGAATTGCTCTCAAAGATCACCATACACTTCCCTCCCAAGCATTTCTCATGTGCTACGAGGAGGTGTTTGGTTTGTGGGCTTGATTGCAAGCTCAGTGAGTTGATGTGATTGATTGTTGCATTTGATGGGTGGTGACTGCAGTGTGTGGATGTGTGTAGTTGAATTCGTTGATGACTGGTGGAGCATGGTTGAGAAACCACATTTGTTAGCATATGTGTCACTGTTAAGTTGAGGTGGAATGTGTGTGACACAGGTCGTCATTTGTCCTCAGTGGGGGGAAAGTGTTTGTAGTTCTTCATGTCACCAAACTCTGATGTATCCAGTTCTCTTGTAACATCAGTTTCTGCTAGGAAATCATCATATGTTGATGGCAATGCATTACCAGCATCATTCCGTACATGTAAGCCTCATTCAATGTGCTTTTGATGTACTCCTTTAGTACCTCTAATCTTCCCTCCACTTTATGGCTAATCATTTGATGCCTATTGCTACATCTTTTACAAGAACCTATTGCTAAATCTTTTACAGAACTCTTTACAATCCCATACTACTCTATTATCATCTAATGCAAAGGTCTCAAATTGATGACACCTGAAGCAAATTTATGTGGTCCATGAATACATTTCAGTTAGGTAATTGTTACAAAGATTTCACGATTTTAATTATTTGAAGCACGAATTTATATATTCATTAGTATTAAAAATGAACATAAATGCCGCCCAACTGGTATAGTGGTTAGCATCACTGGCTGACATTTAAAAAAGGCTAGGTTCGAATTTCGAATCCTGGAGAAGGCATGGATATTTGTAAATGTATAGTGTCCATGTGGCATGGGAGCACTCTAAATATGCAGCAAGCCGAAAGTCCTCTCAAGAGGTTGTGGTAAGGGAAGAGGATTGGGAGACCCTCGGACCCATCTCCCTGGGGTGTTCCAGATCAAAATTGGGAGTGGAACTGAGCTAAATCGCAGTATCATCCGTAAGCTGTTCAAGGCTTGGCGCAATCTTGTGCTCCTTCTCACGAGAAATTTCATGGGCTTGGGTTGACTATACATCAGACAAGTGAGCATTAGTCAACAACAACAATGAACATGAATAAAGCATGAGAAAATCTATAAATTGAGTTCATTATTTTATAATGTGATACAAATCTTATTAAAAAATGTAAGCTCATAATCAAAGAATCAGAATATTTGATTAATTTTATTCACACTTGTAAAAAAAAGTATTCTCAGTTATGAATTTTTACACTAAAAATAATTGTTTCGTTGAGAATACATTTATATGTGAACAGCATTTTTTTTACAATTAAAAATTAATAAGAATAGAGTCTGATGGACCAATGAGGATCTACAATCCATGATAAAGATAATTTCTAGTAATTTTTCTCCTGTGCCTTATACAAACAAATTTTATATTTACATAATACAACAATTTAAAATATTTACAGAGAAACATGTGTATTTTAATTTATGCCTCGTAGAAAAACGTAATAAATAAGAGAAAGAGTTTAAATTGTCATTATGTTTTCTCAAGTTTTGTTCTACTTGGAAAGTATTCATAATTTGTTTATTTTTAGAATCTCATTCTTTTAGGAAGCACAAACTAACAAGCTCTCAAAAGATTATATGAGGAATTATCCCCAGGTATTGACACCAAAAGGAAAGTCAGAAGAGTGTAGTAGTCCTTTGTGTGACTGAATAACGGTGTCACCCTATATTCAGTCACATATCATTGAACAGACAGCCCCATTTGGGCTACATAAAGCTAACACTTTTGGCTTAACTCAAACAAGTGATATTGAACTTCAAATAAAATGTAATTAAATTAGCCTAACGACTTGCAGGATAAATTAACACACAGGAAGGCTCTGACTTGTAGAAGCCAGTGAAACAAGCCTAATGATTAGAAGCACTCAACACCCCAGAATCAAATCACTAGTAAGTCAAAATAACAATGTTGCCTTTATGCAGGCATACTACACTCTAAAATCACCTTCGAAAACCTTCGCTTAAATAGCACTTCTTTCTATCTTAATTTGAGTACACACGCGTTATCTGATTAGCACACTGGTAGGAAAGCACTGGTGAAAATGAAAATGAAAGGAAAGTTGCCTTAACTAAAAATTAACTGTAAATAAAATTAAATAATTCTCCGCAAGTCTAAATTAAAATAAGCTATTTAATGATTAAATATATTAGAATTTTTTTAAATAAATTTCAACCTGAAATATTAATATACTTAGCCGTCAATATGTTTGAATTACAAAGTGTAGCCAACAAAAATGTCTAACAGGTACCAACTTTAGATTTTCAGATAGAAAATAAATATAAATTTCAATTTTTCTATTGCATTATTATTATTACTGTTTGTGTATGCTCTGATAAATATTTAGTAAATAAAATTTTAAATTTAGTTAAAACATTTTCATTTTGCTAAGGAAAAAAAAAAAAAAAAAAAATCTGGCTCATCAGCTGTTTTCAGTTCTACATTTTTCCTACATGCAAATTAAGTTTAAGATTACTGATCTAATTAACGCAAAATTAAATTTCCCTAAACTGTAAGTGCAATAAACACAAAACCTTCTGCACAAACTTCAGTGAATAAACACTGCTAAGATTTTAATAAGCAAATGAAACTAGAAAAGGTGCTCTGAAAAAAGTACGCAATCAAGAAACCCAAAATAGAATTACTGATGATGCTTTACGAATATACATCATGTTACATATTAAATAACAAAACAATTTAGTTGTTATTGATATTATATCTGTACGAGTATCATGATTTTCTTCAAAACGAGAATTAAAACAAAATAGAACACACAAAAAAAGAGGAGGAAACAAAAATTACCAAATATTTTAACAAAACAAGTAACTATTTAATTAACATTTATAAGCAACACACGTACATACTTTTTAAATCTGATTTACAATCTATATATGCATTTTGCTTCCTTTTTTGGATCAACTGATCAGTTCTTTATGAGACAGTTAATTAGCCTACTGTATAACTAATCACAAAGAGTCTATTCTGTTAAGAAAATCTACATTATTACAATTCTTTAATATCACAAGTCAAAATTCTAAAAATATAGTCAGATAAAAAAAATTGTGTGTGGGGGGGATTACAGCCAATAAATTAACTTAAAATATGCTAAGTTGCAAGAAACTGGGAAAAAGATATACTTTAATTCCTCAGATGAAAACTAGACAAAGTTTGCCTGCACATTTGAATAAACGTTTGACAGCTACTACAGACATTGATTTTAAGCATCACTAAAAAAAATTGAGATGACAAAAATGTAAACATACTTTAATTTGTAATGAATTTTCATATGTTCTTTCAAATGAGTCAACTTGCTGAATCCTTTTGAACATATTCTACAAATAAAACTCTTATCCATAGCCAACTCTGCAAGATGTTCTTGCATATGTTTATCTAATTTAAACTGCAATAAAATGAGAAGAAAATCATGAAAACAATACATTAAAAAATAAAAACCACAACCAACTAGATACAATAAGAAATGCACTATTATCTTGTGGAAATAGTACTGGAGCATACAATATTGTTTTTAATTTTAATTATTTGACATTAACTCAGAACAATATATAGTTAACATGGGATGTATATAAATTAGAAAAAAGGAAATTCTATTCATATAATTTTGGCATATGCAAATTCACTCTTCCAATTTCCATACAACAATAGCAAAATAATTAAAAGCATTTTCAGTTTGCTCATGAATTATAACAAATTAATAGCACATAAACTTGATATAAAAATTTTTTCACATTTTTTGTTTAATCTCTGAAATATCACTTTCTATTAATAGCAAATGTATTAATTATTATTTTTATTGACCCCCCAAAAGGAAATATGCTATTTATAAAGCTTATTTTAATCATAGGGTTGTTTAAAAAATATGTAAATATTTCTAAAATTCATAAAAATCAAACAAATGGATTCAATGAAGTGGTATCAGCACAAATGAAACCAAAAAAGGAAATATTTTTTACTTATCTTTTATACCAGCTACTGTGAAAAACACCTGCAACCTCCACAATTAATCACTAGTTGTAAACTAACCCCACTTAATATCTCATACACTTCAACATGCTCTTTCAAGAAAGACATTTTACATGCTATGAACAAAGTGAAAATACTGATGTATAACATATTATCAGTTTTCATACCTAGCAGAACATACAAAAGAAAAAATGTTTTCAAAGCCATATTAACAGCAGCTGTAAATATATAAAGTCATGAAAAATGTTATGAGAAAAAAAAAAAAAAAAAGGCAAAACTGTGATGTGTGCAAAAAGTAAATCTAAGTGTAATTTTATTACATTTTACTTTTTCTTAAACATTTTTGTTATTTATATGAATTTCCCACTTGATGCCTTTTTTCCACACTGACCATGTACATATGATAGCCTTCTTTTTTCAAAGTCTCTGCCTTTGAAAACAAATATTTAATTACATATGTATTAAAAATAAGATGAAATTAAAATGAAGCTACATATGCAATTAAGTGTATTTGATGTTATGGTTATAAAAAGAGATTGTTGTGTCTCTTTTATTGAAGATAATGACTTTCCTGTGCTTTACATGTTTTTATAATGCCATGAATGTTATATTTTGCAATTTAACCAATAATGAAAATGGATGATTAGAAGATACGGTGTGTGTACATTAAATTTTGTTCCAAAACTTGGTAAAAGTGCTAAATATTAAATGCTCCAATCTTTCAATGAAAATGCTTCGGGTTATATAGTAACCTAAAAACAACTTAACTGTTCAAACACAGCATGCAAAGAATTGGATTCTAAAGTAGGTATTTCCTTTTGCTGCACAGCAATTTTTGGCAGCTAAAAACATTGGATATTGTCTCTCATCTTTTTCATAGTTAATGCTCCATGACTTTTAACTCTTTTATATTGAAAATAAGGCTAAAGAGGAAACAATTTAGCATTATAAGTGAAGTTCAGACATAATTATAACCAATACTGAATGCTCTTACAAAACAGAACTGTGTGAAATGTTTTCAATCATGAGAAAAGCACTGGAATCTACATTTATAATCCAGTGGAGACTATTTCAGAACTGAGAAGAATAAGATGCAAGATATAATTTTACAAACTTCTTCAAAATTACACTTCTAAAACAGAAATTTTGTAAATATTAGGTAACACTTCCTTCATAAGGGGGGGGGAATCTATATCACTACAGAAAATTATTATTGTAAACAAGTGCTGATTTACAATTGTTTGATATAAGCAATAAATTTATACAGCAGTTTGTACTAAGGTATAAGATAATTAATTATTTACACCACTGTTTTTACACAACTACGTTATTACTGTTACATTAATTATGCTATATTTTATTTTAGAATATGTTTTTTTTTTTTTTTTTTTTTTTTTTTATAATTCATCTATGTTAGTAACTTAACACTTGCACAGTTTTATATAAATAATATGCTAAATAATCAAGTGTTTATTGTACTTTATTACTCTTACTGTAATTAAAGTTTATTTATTATAATCAAGGTTTTATTGTATGTTGTTAAAATTATTTTGTTCTGTGTTAGCAATCCAACACCTGCATAGCTTGATATGAATAATATATTAACTAATCGAGATTTCACTGTACTTGCACATTGGCCAGAAGCACAATAATTCCATTATGTTTAACACTAAAAGATGGGGAAAATTACCAGACATACTTACTTTTGTTAAAGTTTTATAAATAAAAAAAATTATTTTGTTAATTTTAATTTGTTCAGTTTTAATTTTCTTGTAAACTAATAAATTTTACATAATTTTGTAGAAGTTAGTAATAAATTAGTGAAATGTACGAGAATCACAGGAATTTGTTTTCCCAAGAATAAGAGGATTCATGTTTATACTAAGGTTCAGGGAGGGATGAGACTGTTGAAGCTGGTGCAGACAGCAAGCTTTTCTTTTTTAATAAAGCAGATGGGACCTTTAGCTATGATGATAAAAGGGAAGGAGCTCATAGGGCTTTAGAATAGTTTTTATTGTTATAAAAGTCCTTCTCCAAAGGTATTTTCTCTTGGATTCTAGATCTGTCCTTCTGGTCCTTGCCAATAGCAAAATTTGAGAGTGGAATCCTGTTTATGAATGCAGATTTCTGAATTTTCTTGCTGATTCCATAGCATTACAGCAAGTGACAGCTAGTTATGGAGCAGAGCGAAATAAAGATGCACTCTTTCTCATAAAGAAAGAAATTCCTCCAGAACTGCAGAAATTTGATGACCCTTCTTTCTATGAGGAGAAGGAAAAATATGGACTTTAGCAAACTTCACGATTTAACTTCTGCACAAAGATTAGAGGAGAGATTAGGTAATGTCTTCTGGATAAGGGACATTTACTATCCCAGATTCTTACCATGTTATGGCATTTTTTCATCTTGATTGCATTAATGCTAATTAATTATATTAGTCTCAAGTATTCAGTGTGTGCTCTTCATAACTCTGGATAACTCATGAGCAGAGAACATGCTCTGTACTTAATGATTTTAATTCTGTAACAATAAGAAACTTGGAGGCAAGATGGCTAATGGCTGAAATGCCAAATGCCAGGCAATTGTAAAACAATAAATAAATATACACCATCGAAATAATTTCATCTGTTTCAACAGGGTTCTAAAAATGAAGATTTATTATTTTTTTTTTACGTATATTATTTGCCATGATCATATATTTGTGAATTATTACTTGTGCTTGGCTAACACATAAGTATCAATTTTTAAATATGCTTATGAAAACATACCTGAGTGCTAAATTCATGTCCACATTCAGTACAAACAAGGTTTTCTTCAATTTGATGCATTAAAAGATGGGATTTAAGGCCTGCCATCCTAGCAAATTTTTTGTTACACTCAGGGCAAGTTGGATCAGAAGTAGAATGTGTGGCCTGATGTAAAATTAAATTAAATCGCTCATTGAATGATGCATCACATTCAGTGCATCTGTTTGGCTTATCTTCTGCATGGACTTTCCAGTGCCGGTGCAACTGCTTTGCTAAGGCAAATTCTTGGCCACAAAAAGAACATTTGTGAGGACCCTGAAATATTTCAAGGAAATAAAATTAGTATATAATAATATCCTAACTTGGCAATGATACATCAAGACCCATTTGCTTTATAATAAAACTCATAAATATAACTTAAAATTTCATTTAATTACCATGTAATTAAATTTATATTTTATAACTATCTAGTTGTATGTCTTTATAAATACAGATAGAATACACTTACACACACTCTTCTCTCTCTCTTTATATATATATATATATATATATATATATTCACATTATCTGTCTCTCTTTACAGAGACAGATAAATATATACAGTATCTCTCTATATATAAACTTACACTGAGCCAAAACATTGCAATCATCCCCACATTTTTCAATGAACTCATCTGGATGACATGGAGGTCATGTGATTAAGTGGGAATGGTAATTAACTGCTGCTGGAGAAGGTAAGGAATCGAGCCGGGTTTTCTACTACCCATCAAATTACAAGACTAATTGAGTTCAACGGGGGATGTTTTAATAAAAAAGAATCAGTGGTGGGACTCTTCCTTGATGTAGAGAAAGTGTTTGATAAGGTATGGCACGATGCTCTCCTTATCAAACTCATTAACTACAAATTTCCTCCTGAAATTGTAATAATAATTGTGGATTTCCTCAAAAGCAGAACACTTCAAACCCAGATTAATAACCTTCTCTATTCTACAAGAAAAATTAGTGCCAGCACACTGCAAAGAGCGATTATCTTCCCCAAACTTTTTAATGCATTTATCAATGATTTACCCACAATAGATTGTGCCCTAACAGCTTGTTATGCGGATGATAGTACTGCCTTATTATGCAAATCTATGAATCCTCACATCGCCCTCATCAAACTCTAAGAATCTACAGACAAAATAATCGAGTGCTTCAATAAATGGAAAATTAAAATAAATATAGAAAAATCCACAGTCATCTTTTTCAGCAAGAAATTTCATCAAGGAAATTTTGAAGATATTAAAATAAATAATGTAAGCATCCCAAAAGTTAACCATGTTAAATATCTCAGAGTTTATCTTGACAAAAGGCTCACATTCAAATTTCACACTGACTACATCAAAGTAAAAGCGCAAAAAGCCTTTATGGCACTTTATCCGATCTTAGGAAGAAATTCACAACTTCAACCAACAACAAAAAGGTTCATCTGTCTATAGCCTATCAGATCAACAGTCTTTTACGCAGTACCAGCCTGGGCAGCTACAGCAAACACACATAGGTCAAAGCTACAAAGTCAACAAAATATCCACCACCAAATAATGTCTAAATCTCCTTCGTTCATACGCAATACAGTTATCAGAAAAAGTTTTAAAATTAATACCATCAATGAAGAAATTAAAAAGACCACCAGAAATTTCCACCTCAAATGTGACAACCACAGCTATCAAGTCATACAATATCTTGGATCTTACGATCACAGCATCATACAATCTTGGCTAAGAACTATATTTTACAACAACAATTGGAAATAGACAAATCATCATGTAAATATTGTATACATCTTATGTCCTTATGTGTATGTATCTTATGTTATGTATATTGTATATATCTTAAGCAGACTAAAAGACTTTATGTTTCCCTGTGCAAGCAAGATAAAGACTTGTAATTTTTATTTACTGAAGAATTTATTTACTTTCATTTTGTCAAAATTAAGTTTATTTACTAGCATTGTATTGAATCGTTTTTCACGTGACTCACATGACTAGAGCAAACTCTACAATTAGCTTACTATAGTCAAACTTTATTACTTGTTTTAACAAAAATTATTCAAGAACCTTGTAAATATTTTTCATCTATGTATAATATGCATTATCATCATCTCTTAAAAATTTTATATCACTATACCATGCCTATCACATTGTCTAATAATTGCTTCATACTTGACAAATAGATGGCACCACACTATCTTCACTAAGGAAGATTACTATTTTCAACTTAACAAAAGATCCACTAAGACTTACCCAGTAGGGTTAAAAATTTCTGAGTAAAGGTACTCGGGCCGAAAACTTGTAAATACTGTAATTCACCATAAGGAAACATTCTTGCTCTTACTTTTGCAAATGATGAGAAAGCCTGCTGATCTGAGATAATTTGATGGAGGGCAGAGTGTAAAGGTCACTTGGAAGACTTGGAACGAATATCTCTGAAACTGCATGCCTGTTGTTCACAATCTGTAGTTGTTAGTATTTATGAAAGTAGATAAATGACAATAAAACTAGCAGTAGATGCAAAGATGCTGGACATCAATGCTTCATCAAAGAAAAAGGATGTCAGAAACTGTCTCACATGGTACAATAAAATCAGTGCCAGACAATGCCTTAGCTGACACTGTTAAATATGGGACTGCACAGCAGACATCCCACTCATGTGCCTCTGTTGACTAAGCATCATTGTCTACTACGCCTACAGTGAGCCCGGGAACATTGAAATTGGACCATGGATAAGTGGATGGATGGATGAATCGTGATTTCTCATTATCACATCGATGGTCGTGGCAGGATATGCCGTTTTATTGGTGAATAGTCACAGCGATGCTGACAGTCATTCCAAAGGGCCTGTGTTCGAATCCCAGAAAAGGCATGAATGTTTGTAAATGCATAGTGTCTGTGCAGCATGGGGAAGGGCACTCTAAATATGCGGCGAGCCAAAAGTCCTCTCGAGGTGTTGGTGGTAGAGGAAAAGGGGTAGAGACCTTTGGACCCCCCTCCCCGGGTGCTCTCTATTAAAACTGAGGGCAAAACTGAGCAAAGTCATACTGTCACCTGTATGGTGCTCAAGGCTCTTTCCAACAACAGGTGAAATATTGCTGTCCTTGCCATAATGTATTTCATGCGCTTGTTCTGATGTTGCCATCACACATATGAGAGAAGTTGCAACACAATAACAACAGAACAGATTATGAAAGCTCCAGACTATTTGAACATAACAGCAGATCAGTTGCACCCTTACATGGCATCTGTCTTCCCAACTGAAAATGAAATCTTCCAGCAGGACAATGCCTCATGTCACAAGGCTCGAGTTATGTTGGAGTGGTTCGAGGAGCATAAGGATTAATTCCAGTTAATGGCCTAGCCACCTAACTTGGCAGATTTTAACCTGATAGAGCACACATGGGATGTCATGGAGTGGCAACTCTAAGCTCAAACACCACCATGTCGGAATATCTCAACTGTGTGCAACCCCTGCTTAGACATTTGATACAACCTGTCTCCAATCATTTACTAAGAATATGTGGCATTCATGCAAATTGCAGCCGTTCTGCAGGTCAAAGGTCACACAATACATTTTTGATTAGGTAGTACATAATGTTTTGGCTCTTTAGTGTTCAACCAAATCTCACTACCAAGTTACCTGAATAACATTCATTCTGCTTAATAGTTTGGATTATTTTTGCTTTTAATAAATTCCTCTTCCATTTTTATGTTACGCTAATTAAGTCACTTTTGAAGTAAATGATTCCAGCTGTCAAGTATATTCAAAGTCTTGGTACAATTAAAATTGTTTGTTCTCCAGGATTGCTTTTAATAAATTCCTCTTCCATTTTTATGTTACACTAATTAAGTCACTTTTGAAGTAAATGATTCCAGCTGTCAAGTATATTCAAAGTCTTGGTACAATTAAAATAATAGTATAACCAGTGAAAGGAAGCAATAACAATATTATAATGATTGCTTTCAATGAAAGCCAATTAAAAATTCTCTTTTATTTATACATATGATATGACAATTATGATAGAAAAAATCTGACAATTTTTATTGATTGAGACACAAGAATTAGCTCCTAACATTTCTTTCTTTCTCCTACTTTGATCAGAGTATTAATACAATCTTGAATTATGAGAATTAACTCATAACTTTGCTTTCCTCCCATTATTTCTGTGTTTTCTATAGTAAAATGCATATACATTCTACACACAGCAAAATTAGGATTAATTGCTACTGAAGATAAGACTACTTTTTATCTTTCAAAATGTAACAAGTTTTGAATTTTATTTACACAAAATTAGTTCTGGCAGTAATAACATAGGTAGATTTTTCAAACTGTTAATTAGTAGTTAAATGCTTTATTAATAAAATAACTTTTTTTGATTACACTAGCTAAAAGAGAAACAATGATTTTGAAACAATTCAAGCATAAATTAGGACTGATTAGTTTTTAGAAAAAAGCAAATCTATTAAACTTAATTAAAGTTACAGATAAACTTAATAAACATTATTTTATGGAAAATTAAAGTATTATTTAACCTTTTTCCTGTAAAATACACATCCTAAAACTCCAATAATAATAGGTTTTAATTAAAAAATGGCTGCAGTTCAAATTTGTCTCACCTTTCGATCGGGTGGTAAAATTTCATCATTAATTTGAGAAGGAAGAGGCTCTCTTGCAGCTTCCTCATTCTGAAGTGGAACTGAATTAGAGTATTCCACTTCTGAAGGCAATCCAGGTTCTTTATTAATATTAACATCAGATGCTTGAGAAGTTTCAGAAGCTACATGGAAAAGATTAGTTCCATCATATAATGGGATAGTTTGCTCAGACAGCATAGTTAACTGACAGGCATCAAGAAGAATAGTATTTCCATCTGCACTGGTTGCAAGAATGTAACTAGGTTGAGTATCAGACCCAGAAATAGATCCTTCTTGCAGAAATGGAACATTTATAAACTGGGCAGCAGACAAGTCTGAAGTAACAGAGTTACCACTCTCTGATGAGAGAATTGATACATTTTCCATTCTGACAACAGGTACAGTATCTTGCATAACAGAAGCTTCTGTTGATATATTCATATTGTTGTTTGACACACTATTTATTACATCCAGCTCCATTTTGTTTTAGATTTTCTAGCAGCAAAATAACAGGTAAGCTGAAAAATAAATAAAAAATTGAAATATATAACAATTGTTTCCCAAATACAATAATTTAATAAAAATCATAGTAATGTTAATTTAAATAACAACAAATATGCTTGGTAAAAAACATGAAGAGGAAAATTTAATGCATATTTTACTAGGCATTTATTTTTTACCAAAGTATATTACAATTTGTGTAAACATGCTTCCACGAAGACAGCTTCATTATTCTAAACTAACATATTTTGAATTGCTGGAAAAAAATTTAACATTAATTAACAAAGTACCCAACAAAGAATAAAAATGTATGCGATTCTTTTTAGAAAGTATGTATTCTCTCTTTGGTCATGTCAGCAAGTTATCATAATTTCTGTCACACTTTAAAATATCCTCTCAGTGTGCCGTTCTTATTTTGACAGCATTGTTGTGTTAAAACCATTGCTTTAAAATGTAATATGTCTTTGAGATGAATTTGAGAGCAATCTGAACAGCTGCACACATTCGAAAAGGGATGTACTGCATCAAGCTCATTTTGCTGTATTGTGCTAATTACCAGTCACACAGCTGTTAGTGTCACAAGTTGTTAGCAGGAATTGGTTTAGGAAGTTATGGAAGGTATGATTCGGGAAAGCATGTACTCAAAACGTGTAAAGTTTTGAAGAGTGAACTTAATAAACATTATTTTATGGAAAATTAAAGTAGCCATGCATGAGCTGCTCAATGTGTTCTAGCTGCAGATATTCGGTCAGCAGTGATCTCCTCCATACAGGATTCTTCGAGTACCAGAAATTCTCCATGACAGATTGATATATACCACTGTATTATAGAAATGCAAATCATTATGATGACTGCCTCTGAAGCCATAGCAATGTTAATATAGATCGTAATGTATCTTCATGATAGCATCAAGCAACCATGTAATCTTTAATGATGAGTCTCAACATGGTCTGGATGACCAATGTATTTACATGCAAGAACAACATAGTCAGCACCAATCTACAAAATTTTGTTGTCACATGTCTAGAAGGATGGGTATCATGGTATGCAAAAATATGTGATTTTCACATGATACATGATCACCATTAATTTTTATCATAGGACCTTGACAGTCCACAGGTACACAGATGCGAGGTCCTTCAATTATTTGTAACCCTGCCATTTATGAATGACTCTACCAATCCTACAACATTCGGTTCTATACAACATCTTAAAAGTCTTACTTTCCCACTACGGACACTGCCGTAGCCAGCCACATGGGCAGACCTGTCTTCAACTGAAAACCTTTGGGATGCTACAGACTACTTTATCAAGATACTGCCATCACAAAATTTATACGAATAATAAGCCAGAATTCAATCTGCATGGTATGATGTAATGCAGAACTATATTAGAGACCTCTACAAATCCAAATATGACATGTTGCACAATGCATTAACAATACTGATGATCTAATGACACAATACTAATACTAAGAGTATTAGATACTATGTAAATATTTGCTGACAGTAATGAACGAATGCTTTAAGAGGGCAAAAGTGCAGAACCAAGTTGATATGCAACATATATGCATCAACTAAATTTCAAGAACATAAATATTGCTACCAAGATATAGAGGATTGAGTGAAAATTTATTCTTATTATAACCCAAAGCAGATGTCACATACCACTAAAAATGGTGGAGTGTACTTCACCAATACATACCAAAGAGCATATAATTTATCAAAATTAGAAAAAGGTTTATGGTCAGTTATCAGGTCAGGGATGTTAGCATTTTAGAAATAATAGATTTTTTTAATACTTTGATAGATATAGTGGTAAAAGAACTAAGTATGGTGTAATGAGACAGCTTTGATAATGCATTGACTGTGGAGTTTTCCCTTTCACTGAATACAGAAATGAATAATAAGTGGAACAGCTGATTAGAATTAACTAATGAGCTAATGTAGCTCAGTTAGCCATCCAACTTAAGTAAAAGGCCACTGGAAGGCCTTTAACCTAGGCATGCAAAATAACCTACGAGACACTGAGTTCAGAACCAATTTAGTGGCAATACTCATGGTGACAGCTGTGTGTTGCAAAGAAGGTTAATCAGTTTGCAGAAACTGCACCCTGACCAAAAGGCAAAGAGTAATTTTCTTTGAAAGCCATGATTTATATATAATATTGCAGTGGAAATTGTGTATTAGGAATAAAGCATTTGAGAATAGATACCTAGATATGGCTGTGATAAACTGGAGAAAACAACATTATTTTTTGAATATGTTATGATAGAATGATTGAGTCAGCTAATGCTTTCAATGGCTTAAGTGTAAATGATTAGCTCTTAATAATCACAGACTAGGAATATCCAAAGATCAAGATTTTTTAGCTGAATGGCAAAGTATCTATGAATTTCAAGCTGTGATACTAGAATTCTCAGCAAATAGTTTGAAAAGAATGCTAAAGACTTTAAGCTACTCCTTTGGCTACTTAAGCTGCTCCATAACCAACCAAATTCAAGATATTTAGGACTACCTTGGTACAGTGGAAGAATGAATCCTCAATCAAGAAATTTACAGGATCCATAGGATGAAATAAAAGCTGTTTAGTCATAGATACCTTTTGCAATTCAGAATAAACGATCTAGAATAAACGATGTTTGTGTACATCTTGTAATCATCACTGAGCACGTACCGAACACATATAAAATACAACACATGGCGCAGCCCGTTGTTGATTAAAAAAGAAAATCTTTTTTGAAGAACCATGCAGCCTCGGTAAAGATGTTCTAAACAAAAACATCATGGGAAGTTGTTTACTGTGAAATCGAAACTTATATCGCTGGTAAGTGAGTTGTTTATTTTTATTGGAAGTGGCTAAAAATACGTTTATGTAAACTATTTAAAGTCCTAAATTAAATATGGATGGATTAAAGCCACCAAGTAATCTAAGTTTCGAAAGAAATTTAAGCGAAAATTGGAAGAAATGGAAACAAAAATTCCAAATTTATATGTTAGCGTCTGGTGGTATTACTAAATCACCTGAAATTAAAGTAGCTATTTTATTGCATATAATTGGTGAAGAAGCACTTGAAAATTTAATACTTTTAATTTAAGTGAAGAAGATAAGAAGGATGTTGACAAAGTAATTGAAGCTTTCGAAAATTTTTGCATACCGAAAGCAAACGAAAGTGTTGATAGACATATATTTTTCCTGTCGAACACAACATGTAGGTGAATCGTTTGATGATTTCTTAACCGATTTAAAGAAATTAAGTAGCAACTGTGGATTTGCAGAATTAAAAGATAGTTTTAATAAGGGATAGAATAGTAAGTGGAATTCTAAATAAAAATCTCAAAGATAGATTATTAAGGGAAGATCAGTTAACATTGGAGAAATGTATTAAAATGTGTAAAGCTTCTGAATTAGCAGAACTTCAGCTGAAAACTTTAACTGAAGAAAATAAAATAGAAGCTATCAAACGTAATAAATTTCGACCTTCAGAGGAAAAACGTCAGCCTTGTAAGAAAGACTTTCATGTAAAACAAAAGCAACAAAGTACTAAATCTTCTTCAAACTATCAAGGAAATAAGTACAGTAATCCAAAACCATGTAGAAAATGTGCAACTTTTCATAAGTTATACAACTGTCCTGCTTATAATAAGATTTGCTTGTACTGTAAAAAGAAAAATCACTTTTCTAAAATGTGCACTTATAAAAATGTTAATGTTGTACAGAATAATTTAGAGCATGAGTTACATAATAATGGTAATGAATATATTTTAGGGTCAGTAGAAGATATAAATCCATTTTCTAAAAATAAAACAGAATGGTTTGAAAAACTAAAAGTAAACATATCTAAATATTTATTTGTTAAGTTGGATACTGGAGCTCAGTGTAATGTGCTACCATTGCCTAAATTTAAACAATTAAATTTAAGAGAGAAATGTTTGACTAAATCAAAAGTCACTTTAAATAATTACAATGGTACTACAATTGATGTAAGTTGGAAAATTTAAATTATTATGTGAAACATCGAAAGGGGACAAGGATGAAATAGAATTTCAAGTCGTAGCATGTTGATAAATCTGTTCCAGCTATTTTAGGTTTACCTACAATTGCAAAAATTAAACCTAATACAAAGGATTTGTACAGTAAATCCTGATTCTAATGAAAGGTTACCAGAACTTTTAAAAGGATATCAAGATTTGTTTAAAGGAACTGGGAATTTAACTGGATATACATATCATATTAAATTAAAACCAGGAGCTGTTGGTAAAATAGAACCCTGTAGGAAAATTCCACTTAGCTTATTAAATCCATTAAAAAAGGAATTAGCAAGAATGGAAAAAGATGGTATTATAAAGAAAGTTAACCAACCAACAGAATTCGTGAATTCATTAGTGGTAGTAAGGAAAAAGGATGGAAATTTAAGAATGTGTTTAGATCCTCAGCACCTTAACCAAAATATACTGAGAGAACATTATCACATACCAACCTTTGAAGAAATTTCATCTCAAATGACAAATGCAAAGGTCTTTAGTATTTTAGATGCAAACAAAGCTTTTTTTGGCAAATTAAACTGTCAGATTCAAGTTGTGAATTTACTACATTTAACACTCCGTTTGGTAGATATTGTTTTTTGAGGTTGCCATATGGACTGAGTTCATCACCAGAAGTTTTCCACAGAAGTTTTTCTGAAATTTTTAGTGATTTAGAAGAAGTTCAAATATATATAGATGACTTATTAGTTTGGGGTAAAGATAAAAAAGAACATGATTCAAGATTAAAGAAGTTGTTGGACAGAGCCAGAGAAAAGAATGTTAAATTTAATTTAAATAAATGTAAATTTGGGCTGAATGAAGTGAAATATATGGGACATATATTTTCTAAAGATGGTTTAAAACCAGATGAAGACAAAATTAAGGCTATTCTAGATATAAAACCACCAAAAAATGTGAAAGAATTAGAAACTTTCCTAGGAAAGATTACATATGTTTCTAGATTTATACCTAATGTATCAGAATTGACATCA